GCGATTCTTGCCTTTCGAATCACTAGCCAGATAAATTATTGTCATTGGTAAATATGATCTACCTACCTACTTAAATATTTTGTAATTTAAATATATGCTAGCCTATTTATGGGTAGGTACTTGGGCATACTTAAAAAGCAGGTCTTATGCTGGAATACTGAAACGCTACTCAATTTTAAGTCATGCTTAAGTATAGCTGTCTCTACAAATTCTTTGTGATATGACAGAGATGGCACGATATTTAAGAACGACTTAAAATTGAGTAGCGTTTCAGTTGGTTTCAGTATTCGGGCATAAATTTTCTGAAACTAATAAAAAATTCAAACGTTACATCATAACGTATTGTTACCTTTACGTTGCTACAAATGTATGTGTAGCGGAAATATACAGGCTGTTTAAATGTCTATTAATACATTCTTGTTATTACATACTTGTTAAACAGTAGTAGTACCGTATCAACTCTGACCCGCCATTGAATTTATGTGCATGCGTCTCATGTAATTTATGAGTGCACATTATCTTTTTTATGATAAATGTTTTTTTTTATCTGAACAAATTTTATAGCTGTAATTATTTTATGCTGTTGGAATTATGCCTTTGTACTTTAGTTATTTCTACAATTATTTAAAACTGCTTACGCTGTTTTAAATTTATTTCAATAAAAATTTAAATAAAATTAATACTAAAAATATAGATAGATTCTAGATAGATATTGATGCTAAAAAGGTTATTCAATGATACCTACCGACTCCTTGGTGACTGACTAAAGGTAGGTGATACTAATAAGCTACCAGTTTCTGTCAGCGGTTTCGCTCACAAACCTTGACATTTATAATATTAGTAGGAAGATAAGTTTCAATAAGATTTGAGTAAGTGACTGAGCGACTGACTGCCTGAAACTTCGGGCTGGGGCTGGCTCGCTTTGGAAAGTAGAGTTCTCTCTGAGAGGGGATTTTAAGAGGGCATTAGGAGTGGAATTCAATTCAATATATCTCTTTGTACCTAAGAACCTATACCAGATACTTCATTCTGTATTACGTACCTTCATTTGACTGCACGGTTGGCGCGGTGGTTGGGCAACTGACTACCGCGCAAGGGTCGCGGGTTCGATTCCCACACGGAGCAACTCTTTGTGTGATTCACAGATTGTTGTTCTGGGTCTGAGTGTCATGTGTATGTGAACTTGTATGTTTGTAAACGCACCCACGACACAGGAGAAAATCCTAGTGTGGGGCAATGTTTAAAAAAAATGTTCCTTAATTCATCCCAACAATGCACAAAGCTTGTTATACATTGATTTCTATTGTTCCCACAATATTTTCCGACTTCCATTGAACGACAAATTGGCATGCTGCACAGTGATTGAATTCATTCAATTCAGATGCCATCAGTTGTATTCTAATCTGTAGATCGTTATCCTGTTTACTAAAGTCAATGAATGCATTGTGTATTAAAAGAAGGATAAGTATGATCAGGAACTAGATGCATCATACATCTGGATATTGAGACTTTTAATAGAAGTGAGAGATTCCTCTTTGAAGGATTGATTGAAACTAGGCGATTTTAGTGATTCAACAGAATCCAAAGTTGTCGATAGGTACATACCTACAGCTCAACTAAAGGTTTAGTAAACTGAAGCAGTAGTGGGCCTGTCACATTTGTTGGAGAACCGATGACCGATTTAGAAGACGCTTCTCATATTCTGGACCTGAGAACACGCCTAGACAAACGAAATGTCGCATATTCTACAGCAGTTGAGCTAGGTAGGGTTCGGCCAGCTAGATTTCCAACTTTAAACCTTATATTTTTAATATAAAACTTTATTATCACTTAACCAAATTACAATAATCATTTGGCCCGATTTGGGTAGATGCATCTTCCGTGACTTGGTGTCATTATAATCTAGTGACGAAACCATTCGCCTCGGCTCATCAAATCAATCTGGTCAACTGCCCTCATTAGCATACGTCCTCAAGGGGACTGTTAGCGTGACACACCGGTAATGCCCACATAGCTTTGATACATACTTAGGCATGATTGGCATATTTACAAAATCCATATTGTGTTATAAAGTTGCAGAGTTAGGGTTGATTTTACTATATGTATGTAAAATGGGTGAAACATTCGATATTTCATTATTATTGATTATTGGGAGGTCCAGAGGTTTGTTTTGCGCTATCAAAATACTCAAAATTCGTCCAGAACCAGTTTCTTAGATATTGGGCTTTTAAAATGAATAGGTATTTACGGGAGAACCCGCGTCGCGGAATGCTGCTCATGAATATGGGCTTCTAGCATGGCTTGAAATTAGTCGAGTTCCTCGTCAAACGGTTACGTGAAGGAGCCGAAAACATAATAATTAACTTACGGGAAAGTTATTATTATTGTTCCAATGTACAGTGAAAGTACCTGTATTGGAACAATGTCGGCTTATCAGATTGAGCTTTAAACCACTTAAACAGGGCAAGTACTCGATATTTATTAGGTTAAGTGGCTATCTATAAAACCTCCTTTAGAAATTACCAATGTGCTTAATGCTTAGATAATGAAAACGTATGTGGGATTGAGATTAAATTGTTAAGTACCTACCTACTAGGAATTACGTTAGCTATCTGCTGAACTGCTGCATGAAACTTATTGGTACTTGGTTGATTACAAAGTGTAAATATAGGGGTTTTCAATAAAACTTCCACTGCGTATGTTCTCACTCTGTATTTTATCAATTATTCCTCTCAACGTCCATTCACCTTTTTTTTCGTCCCACGAATTGCCGCCATAAATCTCCACTTTCCCGCATCTCTCCTTCCTAAACCAAAAACAGTTTCCTTCTCTTTTTTTGGTGTTGCCATGTTAAAAGTGTTACCCGATTCAATTCCTCACAGTTTTTTTTTTAATTAAAAATATATATTTTTTTAGGAATAAACAAAATAACCTTACAAAAGCTAAAGGTTATTAGGTACTAGGTGAAGATTGATCGAAGTTTTACCAATTAGGTACTTATGTATAAGTCAAGTATAAAGTCAATAAATAATATTAGTTTTAATTAAAAATAAATCAAGATTATGGACATTCTAGGAATTTAGCCCGAACGATTTTGGTTTCCTCTTTTATGGAACTTACAAAAAAAAAACAACAAATCGTTAATGACGTCACGTCTACCCACATTGTTTAATTACACATTATTTACCTAACCTTAAAATAAGATTTACATGTGAAATAAAATACCATGTAATTAGATTATACAGGCAGGTAGGATCCTAAAATAGAGGCCACAAAGAAACCTTGTTAGTTGTTACCTACCAGCTTAATTGCGGTTTAGCTTCTAAATTACATGGATAAGCAATACTGTGACTATAGTACGTACATTACTCGATAAGTAGGTACCTATAGTATGTGCAAGTTAGCAAGAAAATTATTCTAAAATGAAAACGTTTGTCAATTACTGTTTATTTTTCTTTATTTTGTACGTGATTATTTCTTAAACATAAGAGATTACAATCACATAAGTATAATTATATGTAAAGCATAATAACATATCCTAAGTAGGTTGGTACTAGCTAGTGGTGTCGGAACGCGTACTGCGTCCTGTCATAGTGTAGTCAATTTTTTAACATTGTTTACTCAAAAAGTGCACGACATCTTTCATACGATTTTCACCAATTCATCATGAGATGCATCAGGAATATTTTATGTGAGTTGATAGTCGGTATTACCTACTGGGTTTAACTCGTTGAGTAGCGTCATTATAGACACAATTAAAGAACAATAGGTTGCGGTCACCGGTGTCCTCGTGGTGTTTGACAGTTTAATTGGGTTCCAATAAAAGTTGAGTATTGTACCTACCTCTATATAGTGAGTTGTTGCATTGTGATTAATGATAATATCACCGCGTAACGGCGTTCCTAGTATAAAATAGGTGACCCCATTTGCCTAGATAGGTAAAGGTATTTTTAAGTATCTACGTCTAGACAATAGGGTAGATGACTAATTTTTATTTTAATGTCCATCTGGTAGATTATTTTAAAACATTACACACGTATTTTTTTACAAACTCAAAGTCAAAGCATTTATTTCAATTAAACCATAGTTTGGTACTTTTGAAACGTCAACAGAAACAAATACCTCCGACGATAATATATTGATTTGAAATGTCGCGTGACGTCACTTCTATATACATTTTATACGTAGAAATGACGTTTTAGCCCCCACTGCTAAACTTTGATTCGTTATATCTAAGTATCATTTTATTATACAACAAAATAAAAAAATGCGTGTCTAATATTTTTTCATTACCTAACTGAGGGACTAATTAGATTTTTGATTTTCATACCTTGTCATCATCCCTATTATCGGCTAGTCTTAATTTTTCTAATTGTGCCTTATAAAAAGAATAATTTCTACGAAATGAAGCGAACCTATACATTCAAAGAGTCAACCTAAACCTAGTTAAAGAACAATCATCTGATAGACAAGGAGCGTTTTAACGTTATCTTCACACAATGCAAAGCAAACAGCTCCATAGTACAAAGAATACTTAACACTAAGTACACAGTAATATTCTGTACGGGACCTAACTATATCTCTTGTGATAATGATAGTTTTATGAACAACGTATCAGTGACGCGTGAGTCAGTGATAACGGATGTCGGTCCGTCTGCCTGTACCAGCTGAATTTCTCATGATTTACTTAATTTATTTAGATTTATGATCTGATAGTGAAGTGTCGTACTAATCTCGAGGTTAGGTAGTTAGGTATTTGTTTTTGTCACTGTCATTGATTAGGTTTTTAATTTGCTCACATTTTCCTGTTTGCAAAATGTCCTTGCAACAAACAAGAGACAAACTGTCTCTAATTCTACGAAATGTTTTATTGATTTCGGTACGAATATTCTGCCGTCAAAACAAAAATAAATGAAGTTTGAAAATGTTGCCAATAACAATTTACCCCATAATATTTTCCCCGAATCTGTTATGCTAATGGATTTTTTCTTTTGTTTCAGATTAATCCTGTCGTCGACGAATTGGAAATGTTGGACATATTTCGAATTATAAAACTTTAATTAATGTCAAGAAGGTACACGACGTTCTCGGGACGAACGTGTGACAATATAGAAAGTGAATTTTTCAAAAGTGTGAAATCGAGGACTAGCCGGTCCTTGATGTACTCGACAAGCTACAACCCTTGCGCCCTAACACTTTGTATTTCGAAGAGACTTTGCCGCTATTCGGCCAGAGACCCAAGATTAAGACACTGGTCAAGAGAACTAACAATTTCTTCAACGTAGAAGAAATTTCAGCTATTGGATTATTAATCCAATTCTGGTAGTATTCACAGAGTCCATTAGAGGACCGAATTAGTGACAAAATAGTACGTACTTACAACCGTACTTAAGAAAGGATCGTCTAAAAGACTAATGGAATCACAAAGAGCGTATACAAATGGAATTCCAGGGAAAGATCCTTCTAGCAAGCATGATCATAAAGTACCGTCTGAAGAGGAGAAGACTACGTCTCCCTTGCTTCAGAGGATTGATGATTTGAAGTATATAGACGGGGCGAATGAGGATAAAAATGAAGTGAGAGACACGGGAAAACTTAAAGATGATTTAGATACTTTAAATTCTATGAAAACGGAAATCAAAGAAAACCGTCTTTCCGTAGGCTATCATAAAGATTCGGTTAGTGATGATGGCGCTGTTTCAACCACTGAGGGTGTCAAGTTCTTTGGTCTTGGGGATGATGACAGTATTTGTTCCAGTAAGCCACCTGAAGAACCAGCGCCGCAGATCCCGGATGGAGGCTGGGGTTGGGTGGTCGTAGCAGCATCATTCCTCATTGCTACGGTAGCCGATGGGCTGGCCTTTTCTTACGGCTTGATGCATGACAAGTTTGTCATTTATTTTGAAACCAGTGAAGCAAAAACTTCGTTAATTGGAAGTCTCTTTATTTCTGTACCATTAATAGCTGGGCCTATAATGAGTGCTTTGGTTGATCGATATGGATGCAGGAGTATGACAATAGTCGGTGGCATAGCATCGACAATAGGATTTGTAGCTGCTTCGTATAGTAATTCTGTTGAAGTCTTATACGTAACTTACGGTATTATGGCTGGTCTTGGAACTGGCTTGCTATACGTCACTGCCGTGGTATCAATTGCTTATTGGTTCGAGAAACGTCGTAATTTAGCTGTTGGATTAGGTTCATGTGGAGTTGGTTTTGGAACTTTCATATATTCTCCACTGACGACGTATTTATTGGAAGAATTTGGATGGAGAGGTACCTTATTATTATTAGCTGGTACTGTACTTAATGTGTGCGTGTGTGGTGCTGTCATGAGAGATCCTGAATGGTTGATATTAGAACAGAAAAAACAAAGAAAGTTAAATAAATCGAAGAGAGCATCTAGTTCTATATCTATTTCGGCTAAGTCTGGAGGTGGTGAATCTGTTTATCCTGGAGCTGAAGAATTAAAGATTTTAATGAAGAGCGGTGAGACACCTGAATATATACTCACAACATTGGTAGCTTCTATTGCTCAAGCAGAAGATTTGGAAGCAGCTACTAAAAGAAATGCTGATATGTCACAATACCATAAAGTTAGTTCAGTAATTAATCTGCCTACGTTTTTGAGACAGAGTGAGAAGGTAAGAATCAGTAATATGATTTAATCAAGCCAATTGCAAGTCGCATTTTGCTTAATAGTTTAAATAAAACTAAACTTTATTTAATCGTTTCAGGTGCCTGCTGAAGTTTTAGACCAACTTACAACAAATAAAAAACTCTATAATATTATATTGCAAAACTACCCATCGTTGTTAGCTTTACGTAGTACTTCAGAGCAAAAATTGAATGTGGAACCAGCGGCAGAGGCATCTAAAACTAAACCCATTAAGATGTCAATGAAGTTAAAATTAAACAAGAAAGAGAAGAAGAAGAAGGAATTTGAGACTAAACTAGACCAGGTCAGGGAGAAGTTACTGCAGCCGATACCTGAAAATAAGCCAGTGATTGTACAGAGGGAACGTCAAGACTGGTGGACAAGGCAGTTTGTTACTGATCATCAGTATTTAAGAAATATCAGAGTGCACCGTAACTCGATCATGCATCGTGGAGCTATGATGAACATTGCTAAATACAAGCTACGAGCTTCATCTTGTCCTGACATTTATAGGAATTCGATGTGGTCCGTTGAAGAAGAAAAGGTAATTATTACACTTTAAACAATCCAAGGAAATACCAACTTGCATTGATGAGTTAAACATTTGTTATTAACTGTTTTATTTATTTTGCGTTTCCAGACTTGGGGCAAACGGCTGTTGGACACGATTAACAAAACCTTTGACTTCAATATGTTCACGGAGTTCCATTTCTTGATGATGAACCTGTCAACTTTAGTACTCTTCATTTGGTTCATTGTGCCGTATTTCTACATCTCCAACTTTATGCTGATGAGCGGATACTCCGAAGTTCATGGATCGTGGATGTTGAGTGTCTTCGGCATAGCAACTATTATTGGCATTGTAAGTATTATTATTTTAATAATCAATGCTCTAATTTTTGATAGCCTTATTTGAAAATTATTAATTTTTTTATTAACCTTTAATGTTATCTATTTCAGGTCGGCTTGGGTTGGATGGGCGATCTGCCTTGGGTGAACGTTACGAAGACGTATGCAGTATGCCTTATATTTTGTGGAATAACCATAATCCTGTTCCCAGTTCTGATTCGTTTGATGGACCCACAAGCTCCTTACAGTTTCTATGTCTTGGCATTAAATGCTGTAATGTTTGGACTAATGTTCTCAAGTTCATATTCTTATACTCCTAGCATTTTGGTGGAGTTGATCGCTTTGGAAAGATTCACAATGGCATATGGACTGGTTCTTTTGAGTCAGGGCATAGGACATCTTATTGGACCGCCTATGGCTGGTAAGTTAATGTATATTTTGACGACCCAGACGTTTAAGTAAGAGTTGGCATGAAATGATTGGCCATTGTTATCGTGAGACATTGCAAAACAAATTCGCATAACATTGGCGCCGGATAATTCGATGACAGAGACATTGTTTTTAAATACTGGTATTGATTTACTTCACTTGACTCGCGTGTTTATGAAAAACACGCGAGTCAAGTTTCTCCATTCCGATCTTTGCATTATAAATCAGCCAAATAACAAAGTAAAAATAGGCCTATAATATGTCTATTGGTCTCTTAGTATTAAGTTATTAACTTGCTTCGTGTTAATTACTGATCTTATTCAATAAGGTTAAAAATTAAATAGGTAACGTTTTTACTAAGCATAAAAGTACGTCAGTATCGGGAGAAAGTAATAAATCGATATACAATATCGAGGTTTAATGTTTTAGCTCTTATCGCATCAGTTGCGGTAACTACAATCGTAAAATGAAGTGTGAGCAGTCATAAACCTAGTTATAATCTGCGCTGTTTACGAATACAACGGTTGTTTGTATAACTTTAGCTCTTTACCTGTCAATGAATGCTTTACAAGATTTCCTTTTAAACTTTACAAATGTATTACTTAATTAATTCATTGTTCATCCGAAGAATTTTAGAGACCAGCGCAATACATTAGTGTCTTGAGATTATCTTTAGTTTTAAGAAATGAATGGGTACAATAAAGAATAGCTGTTGGCATTGAAATACTTAGTTATTATCGGCAGAGCCGTTTTCCCCATTCTTTATAATTCACAAGTTCAGCAAAGTATTCATTTTTTAACTCGGTTTCTTTTGTGTTAATGCTCTTCAAAACGTTTCTATTAAGAGTCTCGTTTCTTATTCCAGGTGCCTTAAGAGATGTCACTGGACATTGGGACGCAGCTTTCTATGTCGCAGGCTTGTGGGTCATAATATCTGGTTTCCTGGTTGGCGTTATACCTTACACTGAGAACTTCCGTATATGTGGCAACGCACCTCTGGCTAAAGATGTCGCTGGTGAACCTGATCCAGGAGTGAAGATCATCATTGCCCATTAAATCATTCACCAAGAAGTTCTTAACAATGAGTTTTGATAAAATCCCTGGTTGGAAATGCTTATCTATGATACTTATACTTTTTTAGTTAGTTTTTCTCGACTCTTATTGTCGATTTTTAAATAATAATGATTTTTTGAAAGATTGATTTACAGAAGGTATTTGAATTATTTATGATTTTGATACCGTAACGAAAAGGAAAAATATGTTCATTTTGAAACTAGTGACTGTATCTATACTTCACACGTATTGTTGTTTTTCAAATAAAATTATGTATGTATGTATTTAGATATCAATGAAATTGTACCTACCGTGACATGGCACATGTGTGTTTGTAGAGTTTTATAACAACATAGAAAATAATTTCACAATCCTATTAACACAGTTCCTGTTACACCCATATGTGTTCTTCATTTTTATGCTGTTATAAATTTCCTAAAGCGACATTTGTTTTAGTAAGTACCTATAGGTATAAAATAAATGATTAAATAAAGCCAACTTTATAAAGGCGCCAATGAATTTTGTGAATGAATGAATTTTGTGTTCCAGGAACTGTTATGTTATAGGTTTTTTTTAAAGACCATTAGAAGACGTGTTTTTAATAACAAATTTTATATTTTTAAGTTCATATACCTATTCTAATTTTAAACATACATTATAGGTACCTACAGAGTGTCTGATTTTGCGTTTGATTATGTACTACTTGCCATTTTGTAACTCCGATCATGGTAATATTGAATTTATTTTAATTACAAATTTTGAAAGTATTTTAGGACTTAAGATTGTCTACTTATTTAGATTTTAAATCTGCCTACGTATGTAACATGTATGAGCTATTTAAAAATAAATCTGCTATTTCATAACGTGTTTTGTTTTTTTTTTTATAGAAAATTAAAATAAATTCAGATACTTTCCCAATTAAACACACACATAAAAAAATTATACAAAAAAAAAAATGAAAGCAAATCTTCTTATCCTCCTTTTGCAGAAATGTTTAATATACTTAGTACTATTTGACCAGCTAAGTACGTTATTAAATTCTTAGATCACTGACCATACATATAGGTCACCCTTTTGCGTGCTTTTACCAACATTTGTTACTAATCCCAAAAATATCTGGTTCACTAATCTACTTGTTGCCCAAGATTAAAAGACTAGCAAAGAGAAAGTAGAGGAGAAAATTTATATAGAAATATTAAACAAGTAATCATAAATATATTATATCAATAACATAAACAAGAGACATTTCAAAATGTTCTCAAAAACTTATCTTTTTATCCTGATATCATGGGAATTTTAGTTTTGTGTATTGGCAACATTCATTTCAGGAAATGTCAAATTGTCTGTAGCGGTCTGTATAATTTTAATTCTCTAGATGCAGACAGAAAATCAATAAAATGCATACGTACGTGATAGTGATATAGTGATCTCTCTCCTTGATTGGTGTATTTATTTCACTGAAAGTCTTAATTCTTTCAATATAATTTAGAAAAGAATATTATAACCTTTCATGAGTTTGATAACAGTAACTGACATCAGGATTGATAAGAAATCAAAACAAACAGAAGATGAATAATTATTCCACATTCAAAATGATGAAGTAAGTATTGTTTTTGTAATTCAATTTTTGTATTTTTGTGGCCAGTAAATTAAATTAATATGTAACTTTTGCAATCACAATAAAAATTTTCTGTAAGTCGAATTTGTACAAAGCTAGTATGAAATTAAAGAAAATTGACACGTAAATTCTGGATTAAAGCATCCAGATGAGACCAGTGTAAAGAAAATTGTAATTCTCAACTAGGTTACTTATACAAAAATAATTTAATAATAATATTGTTGTCAGTATAAATCCAACGGTTGCTTTCTTTCATTTTAAAAAAGTGGAATTTGAAACGAAAACTCTAAACTCTATCTATGTAGCCGAAGCATTAATGAATCTTCACTGAACCCATTAAACAATATTTTCTGATCTATTCAAATTCACAATGTATAATACATTTTTTTTCTTTTTTGAATGACTGAGTATCCAAAACAGTGTTGTCAACTATACTGCCAGTGTCGATTAGTGACTGCAAATTAATCAACTGTCGAACTATAACTTTGTGGTAGTTGTTAGTAGCTGGAAGGGACAAAAGACATATGTCTTGTATAGTATTTGTATATATGTATAGTCTTATGATATTGTTCCAGAATAGTGCATCTTGATATGAAAGGCGCTCCAATGAAGGTTGATTATTTGGAAAAGGTATGTATTGTATCTTCTTCAGTCTTCAATATTTAATAGTGAAAACATTTGGATGGGTGTTTATGAGTCCATCACATTGAAACTCTAGACGGATTTGGATAAAAATAGACACAAAAAGACACTGGAATTACACAAGTCATTGGCAAAATAAGCTATTATGACACAAAATCAATTTCATTAACACCTCAAGCGTTAAATAGCACTCACAGCATACCAACAACCTATAAGTGGCCACAGCTGACAAACGTGGATGGTGATTTTAAACTTATGATTAATTAAGAATTAGGTATAAGCCCAGGTTTCCTCACGATTTTTTTCTTCAGTGATTGTCAATGGTGTCTAAACTATCTTAGAAAGTACATAAATATAACTCATAACAGTCACATTAGTAAGTACTGCCTGCAATTGATAGTTTTAAGACTCTCATGCATGAGGAGCAGGTGTCTTAATTCTCCGTGCCACTATGACTTAATATCACTCTTAATTAGTACAGTCTTAACTTACAAGAAGTATCAACATTATACATAGACTTATAAATTGTTAATACATTCCAGGTGTTCCAAGTAATTAAATCATGGGGTGTGACTGGAGTTCTTCTGGAATGGGAGGATACCTTTCCATACACAGGAGAATTGGATGAAATTGGCAGTGTGAAGAATGCTGGAGGTGACAACTTGTACAGCTTGGCTGAAGTCAAACATCTGTTGGCTTGCATCAAGGAACTGGGAATGGAAGCTGTAAGGGTCTTTGTTTAATGTTTTTTTTAAAAGAAAGTGTAAGTACCTAGCTAACATGTCTGTGGATTAGTTTCTTGGCGTAACACTTGGCTTAGCGTGATTTTATATGGAAATTGTAGTTGTTATTTAATTTTAACAATTTGCGAATTTCAGATGTTTGCCTGGCAATCCTAAAAGTCTTGCAATATAGTTGCTAGTAAAAAATATTAAAAAAATATATATTTAACTTGTACACAATCACCTCATATAAATACGCAAAATTTGTTAATACAAAAGTAGTCTCTACACATTGGAAATAAGGTATATAATAGAGTTAGTGGAGAGCGGTCATCGGTGGCCGCTTGGGGATTGATCAGTCCAATTATTAGAGTACCAACCAGTTTTTATAGCATAAAATTATGACAGTATACTGACTTACCCACACTTACTTATAAATTGTGACGGAAGCATACAAGTTGATACTGTGCAGTTTCATTATGACCCGCAAAGTTCCTGTATACAATAGCAACATACGTTTTTAAAATAATGAACTGTGCGTTTTATATTATGATTAACTGCAATTCTTTTGAATAACCTAAGTATATCCTCATATATTATGTAATTAATCTTCAGATACAACTGGTCCAAACATTTGGGCATATGGAGTTTGTTCTGAAGCACCCTGCGTTCCGTGAGCTGCGGGAGATAGAGCAGGCCCCGGCTGTGATGTGTCCTACCAAGTTGAAGTCTCTGCAGCTGGTGATGGCGATGGTAGACCAGGCTTTAGAGGTCCAGCCTGATGCTACCTTCTTTCATATTGGGGCTGATGAGGTAAATGAATAAATATTTCTTATAGAAATGTAGGTTATTCTTTTTTATGGGATATGGGGCACTTAGACTAAAGTGGAAATGGGCAGGTCGTGTAACAAGGTTACAGGACAATAGATGGACAAAAATAATTACAACATGGATAGGATCGATAGGAAAAAGAAAAAGATGAAGACCGCACACGCAATGGGATGACGATATCCTGCGTGTGGCTGGAGTACGCTGGCTAGATCGAGAAAGATGGCAGTCTCTGGAGGAGGCCTTCACCTCAAGGGTTCCCTAAAACTAAACTTAATATAAAATAATATGTTTTTTGGAAATGTACATTTCTTTTTAAATTAGGAAATATAAGGTTTTTTATTTTATTTATGGGGCAAACGAGCAGATGGATCGCCTGATGGTGTGATGTTAAGCGATCAACGCCGCCCAGCTACTCGCAACTCCAAAAGAATTACAGATTAGTTGCAGGCCTTTTTATGATGGACTTTAGGTTTTTTTTTTAAGGGGGGAAAATCATCGAATGACTGCTCCCGCTTGGGTGAGGCGGAAGGGAGTGTCAGACTCTTACTGACTAAAAACCACCCCGTTCCTTCTCCTGCACGTCGAGTCGGAGCCCCGGTTACCCGTTAGGTTCTCCGCGACTCCGAATCGGCTTACTTTAGGTTTGAAGTTCGTGTCTATGATGTGGATTTTAGTCAATAAGTCTGACGCGCCCTTCTTGTCTCAGCCAGGGTGGGAGAAATTAATTTTTCCTCCTCAAAAACAGCGATAACCATACCTTTGTACTGTTGTTTTATATTAGGAGTAAAGATAATTATTGTTTATTTTTACAGGTATGGCACGCAGGCATCTGCGAGGATTGTCAGGCAAAACTAGGGGAGGACAAGATGACTAAAGCCAAGTTGTACTTGGAACACATAAAGCGAGTGGTGCTTCATGTGAAGAGTCGGATGCCAAACATATCCGTGCTCATGTGGGACGATATGCTGAGACCCATGGACGCGGAGACTTTGCGAGGTATGTTCAATAAACGGGTATTTTCCTCAGTCGAAAATATATTATTTCGACTTCTCAACAATACAACAAACAAATAGAAAATAAATTATTTAGAAAATAACCACAATTTCATTAATCGGTTTTACAACATATTTCATTTTTAAATATTCTTATTTTTTTAACATATTGTTCTGTTTTTCTTATACGAATTGCCCAGAAAAATATCATTTTTGACGTTTCGATAGAAGTATTGGATTTGACTAGTTGTCCAGTATCGCATTGTGCTCGTAGAGTGAGAGATCGCTTCGTTGCCGGTTGCCGCTCAGAATATACTGAATGTCACACGATATTTCAAATAAATATATTGTAGAAAAAATCATAAGTGAATGTTATTTTCAGAATATGCTATAGGCGACCTCGCCATACCTGTAATATGGCACTACAGCACGATGGAGTGCTTCGGCCTGACAAAGGAAATGTTCAACATCTACACTCAACTGTTCCCCAAGGTCTTTGTCGGAACCGCGTTCAAAGGAGCTAATGGGAGTTGTCAGGTAACATTATTGTACTACTACTACTGCTTCTACTACTACTGCTTCTGCCAGGGGTTTCGCCCTCACTGCGAGGACCGCCCGAAGGACACGGTGGAGCATACGGTGGCGATGTGTCCTACGTGGGCTGAGCACCGCCGTGTCTTCAGGGATGTGATCGGCGACGGCGACCTCTCGCGTCCGGCTCTGGTCAAGCCATGGTGCGGAGTGAGAGGGACTGGGATGCCGTCTCCTATGAAGCAGTCATGCTAGTTAAGGAAGAGGCGGGGCGTGTGAGGGAACGAATCACTTCACGCCCTAGGGTAGTCCGGAGTATCTCACGTCGCAGGATAAATTCCGAATGTAGGAGATCGCGCGACGATCTCTGCCCACCCTAAGTGCGGTCTAGTGGGTCTGCGGACGGCGAGCAAGGGTAGCTCGCGCGCGTCAAAGAGCCATCAGACCACAAATAGGCCCCAGTAGGGCTGATGCCCGATACGGAGCGGCGGAAAGCCTAACGGGTTGCCAGGGCTCAGGATTGAAGAGCAGGATTAAGAACGGGGTGGTTTTTATTCAGTAAGAGTCTGACACTCCCTCTCGAAAATTGTCCAATGACTTCTCACGGACATAAAAATTTACACAATTTTCCCCCCTCAAAAAAGCGGTTTCAGTCCCAAAATTATGTTCCCCGTGCCAATGGTTCGCCATCCCTGACCTACTCCAACCTGGTAAATTTATTCATTACATTTTCGACTTTATGCCAATACGATAAAGTTGAAGATGTTATAGAGAAATACGACCGAAAAGGCTCATATTCATGAGCAGCATTCCACGAAAGTTTTAATATAAACATAGAAAAGGATAGATTGACCTGCCGGCCACCGTGCCATACCATTACTAAACGGCACAAAATACTTAAAGGTCGCCGTCCTGCTCAACGCGATGGTAACCGACGGTTCTGCGTGGCGTCGTCCATAATACCTAGTACATTATAAAGGTGTGCGGGGCCCTAATAGTATTTAGAGGTATTTAATAATTATTATTTGCAGGTATTATCACCAGCGGCCCGCTATGTAAGCAACCACGAGGCTTGGCTCTCTCATATGAAGGAAAATGAACGAGTCAACTTCATCGGAGTCATACTCACTGGCTGGTCTAGGTACGTAATCTTGTCATAAACTAGCTTCTGCTAGCGGCTCCGCCCGCGTTCCCCTGGAATGAAAAGTAACCTATACATTTTTGCAATCCATTATGGCTAATCGTGTTCCAATTTTTAACTCGATCCGTTCAGCCATTTTAACGTGATTGGATAATAAATATACACTGAAACACAAACTTTTATATTTATAATATAATTTTGCATGTAAGAAGAAGTGAGATGTTTACTTAATATCTTATCCTTCTGTCCTATCCTGCTATCCTACTCTATTATCGTAGGATAAAGGATATAAGGGTAGCCTAATATCCTTTATACTATCCCTATATACTTTTTGTGAAGGGAAATCTCATCCAATGGCTACTCCCGCCTTGTGTGAGGCGAGAGACTGTCAATCTCTTACTGCTTCGAGCCAGAGCCCGCCAGTTAGGTTGTCCGCAGTTCCAGACCCCACTACCCTATCCCACTACCCTGTCGCGGAGAACCTAACGGGTAACCGGGGCTCCGGCTCGACGTGCAGGAGAAGGAACGAGGTGGAGGAGGTTTTTAGTCAGTAAGAGTCTGACACTCCCTCCCGCCTCACCCAGGCGGGAACAGTCATTCGATGATTTTCCCCCCTTAAAAAAAATCCCACTACCCTATCCCAGTATCCTATCCCACTATCCCATCCCACTATTATATCCCACTATCCTATCCCACTATCATATCCCACTATCCTATCCTATTATTCTATCCTACTGTCATATCCTTTGTCACACTATTCTATTCCGGCCCTACTTTCGATAAAAGCAAATTGCTAAGGAGTGGAATTCTTTGCCAGAGTTTTGTTTTCTAAAGTCTGGGTGTCTTCAAGGGCCGAGTGAATAGGTTACATGGGCAGGCGTGCTCCATAGTAGGCCGCATCATCGCTTACCACCAGAGGCCTTAGTATAAGTTTGATTTACGTTTAAAGTATTCGAAACGAGTTCGCGTTCGGCGCTCTGATTGGCCGGCGCCAATGAAGCAACCAATTAGAGAACGCGTACTCGTTACGATTACTTTAACTCGTCGAGTACCGGTTTTGTAGACACAATTATAGAACAATAGGTTGCGGTCACCGGTGACCGCTTGGTGTTTGACAGTTTAAACGTATACAAACTCATACTAAAGCCTCAGGTGTGATAGAGGCCAAACGTCGACCCGTCAAATATAATTAGAAAAAAATCATCCGAGAAAGGAGGATCTTCCTTCTTAATCTTACTCTGCGGGCTACTATCCAGCATTTATGTCGCGGAGAACCTAACGGGTAACCGGGGCTCCGACTCGACGTGCAGGAGAAGGAACGGGGTGGATTTTAGTCAGTAAGAGTCTGACACTCCCCCTCCCGCCTCACCCAGGCGGGAGCAGTCATTCGATGATTTTCCCCGCTTAAAAAAAAATCCAGCATTAATACTTTGGGAATAGGCTAGAATGGTAGATGACTAGTTTTTATTTTAATGTCCGTAATATTTGACGACATTTTGCGCGGTCAATATTCCTTGTTCTTAAGGCACGTACCTACGTGACTTAAGAACAAGGAAGGTTGAAGGTTGTACCTACAACGCTTACACGATGTACTTACGTATGTTTATCCTATTATTATATATGCGAATAAACCCTAAATAGTATTGTGCTAGATTTTCTTAAAATTGCCGTTGGGTTTATTGTTGCTATTATTTATCCTCTTGAGCCTTGTATTATTAGGTAAATGTCTTGTTTGTGTTCTGATTTACGTCCATACATGTAATGGAGGTCTGATAATTTTGCAACTGCGCAACTCATGAGCATGACTAATGAGACGAAAGAAACAAATAAGAAAACGTTAATGTTTTTGGACTCGAACTCGAAGTCACGTAACTGTTTGGGGAAGAACTCGATTAGTTTCAAGCTAAGCTAAGGGCTCATATTCATGAGTAGCATTCCGCGACACACGACGTTGTCACTGTGAAATCAGTTACGTGAGTAAACCGAAGAACATAATAACATAGCATAACATCACGCCTTTTAACTCCGAAGGGGTAGGCAGAGGTGTATATTATGCTACTGTACAATGTAACACCCACTTTTCACTATTTAAGTTATGAGTCCCATGTAATAGGGGGTGAGCCTATTGCTATATACCGGGCACAATTCCAGACTTCGTGCTACTACTGTGAATTTTTTGAAAAACCCAATAATACTTTGCCCGACCCGGGAATCGAACCCGAGACCCCTTGCCCGGCAGTCGCACTTGAGACCACTCGGCCAATGAGGCAGTCAGAACATAATAGTTAATTGAGTAAAAAAAGATTTCTACAAAAAGCCACTTTTAATTATTGTTATGTCTGTAACATAATAAACAATTATAAGTAACTACTGACTACATCAATAACGTAATACACTTACACAATTGAGGAAAATCTACAGAAATTATCCTCGAGTAATAAACTAAACAAGTAAGCTTCGATATAAATGATGCATAAAAGGCAAAACTCCGTTTAATTGTTCTCATTAGAAAAATAAATTCAGTAGGAGCCACCTCATACGGTGCTCCTACATCATTGGCATCCGTTACTAATTTTGCAGTTCAATTTTCATTCAAAAAGGTTAAAACATCAAAAAGCAATATGCGAATGTTTAGTTTTTGTCTATTTTTATTCATTCAATTAAGTGGAATCATCCACATCTGCGGCGGAGGTCTCGCGGGTACGGCACTGAAACATTTTGTGAAATGTAAGTATAGAACTTGTTTATTTATTTATTTATGCTTTATTATACACATTTAAGTAGCTTAAAACAAACAATTCATGTAAATATGCGTACAATGGGCGGTCTTATCACACAATGGTGATTTCTTCCAGACAACCTTTGGATGGAAATATTTGTAAGAAATCAGATAATAACAAAACCAGATAAGAAAATAAAAAAAGACATAATAAAAATACCTACAATACAACCTACAATAGACTTGTTCAATATTTCTGATTGTAATTTTATCCAGATGTTTAAGATTTTCAGCTATTTGTGTTTTATATTAATATTTAAGATGCTAATGCACCTTTGACTTAAAACAATAGGGTAGTTGCCTAAATTTTATTCTAATGTCCGTCTGGTAGATTTATTTAAAACATTAGACACGTATTTTTTCTTTTCTCACAAAATTAAACACATTCGACGATATATTAATCGAAAATATCATGTGACGTCATAATACGCTATATTTTGTAACGACCTCCCACTCTTAAACTAACTCCATTTTGTCTAAGTATTGTAGTTTATACGAGAAAATAAAAAAATACGTGTTTAATATTTTTTCATTATCTAACTGACGGACTATTTAGATTTTATTTTCATTCTCTGACAACTACCCTATACTAATAATACTTACTGGGACTGCCTCAGTGTTAGACATATATTGTAATTCTTGATATAATAAACAATTTGAATTTGAAACCTACTCTATTATTGTATATTAAAATTAGTCAGTACTAATACAATTATATCTTCTCTTTAACAGGCCCAGCTAGACAAATGCACATGGACGTTAGTAAAATGGACGTGCATTTTCACGACTTCCACAGAGGCAAGAGCAAAGTTTTTCCTATAGACAAAGCTGCAAAAGGCATACTCTCTTTTGACAGACTTGATAAAAACAAGAAGTTCTACATGTTTGTCCATGGATTCGCAACATACATCAACCACACAACCGCAGACTTAGTAAGGAGAACTTTTAAAGCCGTTCCCAACAGCTACCTAATTCTCATCGACCATTCACATTATACCAACCATTATGACGGACTGAAAAAGAGCTACAGAAGGTCCGTCAAACATGTCTACTCTATTGGAGTACAATTGGCACATATGTTGGCTCAACTCAATAACGGAGGAATTAATCCTAAACGTATCCACGCTATCGGCCACAGCTTGGGTGGCCAAATACTGGGCCATGTTGGACATAATTTCATTAAATTGACTAATGGTAAGAAAATTGCTAGAATTACAGCATTAGACCCAGCTGGTCCTTGTTTCTCAGACAGTCCGAAGGAGGAGCAGATCAGAGCTGGTGTGGCAGATTATGTTGAAGTTTATCATTGTGACGATGGTGCTTTGGGTACGAAGAGTGTTCTGGGTGATACAGACTTCTTCGTGAACAAAGGAAGTGCCCAACCACAATGTAAATCTACAATGGTATCAAATAAGTGCAGCCACAACATTTGTGTGTCAATGTGGATGGCGTCAGTTGCCCATCGGAATTGGTTCCCGGCTAGAAATTGTGATAAATATAAATTGTTCAAAAATTGGAGTTGCGTCTCTAACAAAAAGACCAATGCTGGCTTCTGGAATCCTGGTACTGCGAAAGGAGTTTATTTCTTCTCGACTAAAGGACACAACTTTTAGATTAAAAAATATTAATGGTATATATTAAATATATTTAGTTTTTTAATGTAAATGCCAATGTTGTAAAAATAAAGAAATTATGTTTATTTTATTTATTTATTTATTTCTTCTTCACAAAATACATCAGTGAATGGCGGACTTAATGCCTTAAGGCATTCTCTTACAGTCAACCATAGGGAAGTGCAGAGAAATGAAGCGGTTGATGCGAAGCCAGAACACAATTGAGAAAATAAAAAAAGAGTTATGTAATATGTATACTACACACATAAATTACCTATAGAATAAATATATTAATATAATATTTTATAAATCAGTATAGACATATACATACCATATAATACATACTACTAAACAAATACTTATACCTACTGCATAAATACTACAATATACATATATAAAAAAAGTTTTAAGAGAGTATTAATTAATCATGTTAATTATGCTCAACTTTTATTTCACGATACTTATTGAAATGACAAATTCGATTAGCTCTCCCTACAGCCCTACATCCATATAGAATCATATACGTGACGTTATACGTTACGAAAAAATTACTACGTGGTACCTGGTATATATTATTATTTAATATAGAGGTATATTGTTGTCCCGTCATTGCTGACTACAGGATACAAAACATACAATTATTGTAATTATAATTACCTAATATAGGTCATTTCAATGAGTATAGTCTTCGGCTTGAAACGTTGCCAGGCACACGTCATACTTTGAGGTGGGGATAAATTTACTTACCTTCTTCGATAAATTGACTGTACAATATAACACAAAAATTGTTTTCAATTCGGAGCAGTAGTTCTGTTTGTTGTAATATAACTTTGTGCTGTCGTGGTGGCCGCTTACGTGGTGGCCCGGAGGTTAAGTCGCCCACTTCTCATGCATGAGGGTGCGGGTTCGAAACCTACCAACGGCAAGCACCACTGTGACTTTTTCCGAATTATATGTATTTTCTAAGATTATTTAGACACCACTGACAAACGGTGAAGGAAAACATCGTGGGGAAACCTGGACTTATAATTTCTAATTAATAAGTTTGAAATCGCCAACCCGCATGGAGCAAGCGTGGTGATTAATGCTCAAAACTTCTCCGTGTGAGGAGAGGCTTTGCTCAGTAATGGGCACTTATGGGCTGTTGATGATGATATGAGACAAAAAGCTATGTCGCGCTGCTACGTGCCGTGCCGCATCGTGTGTCGTGGAATGCTGCTCATGAATATGAGCCTTTAGCATGGCTTGAAACTAATCGAGTTCGTCGTCAAACAGTTACGTGTATAAGCCGTAAACATAATAATTATTTCTGTTGATTACAAAGAATCTCTTCAGCTTTATAATTAGCTTTATATTTAATTAATATATAAAGGTATCATGTAATATATTGTAATACATAATGTACGAGCATCGCCACATGATTTCAATTGTTTTACTTTTTAACTTATTCTGCTATACTAACATTTGCCGAATGCGCGCTATTGGTGCATTCATGACGCAATCTACTAACAAAATTATGTTATTTATAGCCACACTAATTAACTAATGTAGTACAATAAATACTCTCTTCGAGAACGGATACAAAAACAGTAATTTTATTTCTGTGAACATCCCGTCTTCGTTGACAACATACTACACACAACAAACACATTTCTGTGTACGGGCAAACAGCTCGTACACATAATAATATGTTAAGTTATTAATATACAAATAAGTTAGTGTTATACATGTAAATCGACTTAATTATCTCTTTGCGGAAATGGCAGAACATGTCGTGTTCGTAGATACCTATGCAGAAATAAAACTATTGTATGGTTTTTTCCTTAAACGGATTCTCGTTTCAAAAGAGTGCAACAAAGTAACCAAGGATTGTTACTATTGACATATTATTTCATTTGCGTCACCTAATTATCAGATGAGGTTAATCCCTTGTACTCATATTATGACAAATAAGAAACTGTGCTATTTATATTTAGCACGGTTGTGGGTAAAATGGGGATGGTAAAGGGGGAATTTGTAAAGGGCGATTTATCTTATTATATTTAAAACATACTAAGATTGTGCACTCATCCTGTATCTCTCACGCATATAGCTAAACATAACGAAAATGTGGAAGAGCCATGCTTCGGCACGAATAGGCCGGCTCGATTGTAGTGATATCATGATTTTTATTTAATAATTCACGTACACACACACACGCACAGCACGGAGAACCACCCATATATAACATTCGAGTATATAGGCGCAACTTATTCCTGTTGGACTTTCTTCCAGTGGACTTGATACAAGAAATGCATTTAAAACATAATACAGTGTGTAACAGAAGAAAAAATGATCTTACAGAAGGGCGTTAAACAACGTTTGGGTCGAGTGTCGTCGTGTTCGTGGGTTAGGTTGGAAAAAAAGGGGTTGTGTTGGGTCTCCGGAAACCTCTTACCGGAGACCCAACCCAACCCCTATTTTTTAAGGGGGGAAATTCATCGAATGACTTCTCCCACCTGGGTGAGGCGGAAGGAAGTGTCAGACTCTTACTGACTAAAAACCACTCCGTTCCTTCTCTTGTACTTCTAGTCGGAGCCCCGGTAACCCGTTAGGTTTTCCGCGACTCCGAATCGGCATTAGCCCTATTGGGCCCCATCCGTGGTGGTCTGATAGCTCTTTGAGGCGCGTCGGAGGCGCCGTACGCTTGGGAACCTAACCCCTAACCCCTAAATCCTCTAATCGAATGAGAATTTCTATTTTAAAGAGATTAATAATTTGCCGACTTGGACTTATACAGAGGCAATTTTTTTATACTAGCTTGGTTGACCTTTGACCACCATCTCGCCTGGTGGTAAGCGATGCAATTTAATTGCGATCAGTTAAAGAATAAGGTAAACTCAGGTCTCTCATATCGCAGCAGACACAGCAATTTCATAAACAAAGACGAATTAAGTTTACGAATATTAGACTTACCCTCTATTATAAGTGCTTAAAGGTTGACTGGGAGACAATGCCCAAGGCATTAAGTCCACCTGTACACACTTGTTGTATGAAGTTGAAATAAATAAATAAATAAATAAGTATGTAGTATGATAGGTGAAATGTGGGTTTTACATAGTATCATGTGCACTTTTGCCTACCCTTTGGGGAATAAAATGTGTGACGTCACGTTATGTTTATATTTTTTTTTATGACATAAACCGGGAAACGAGCAGACGGATCACCTGATGGTAAGCAATCGGCGTCGCCTATAGACACCTGGAACACCTTTTTGGGGATTAGGAGTTTGAGGATCGTTGGGGATTCAAGGATTGGGGAGATTGGGAAAGGGGAGGGTAATTGGGCCTCCGGTAACCTCACTCACACGACGAAACACAACGCAAGCGTTGCTTCACGTCGGTTTTCTGTGAGGCCGTGGTATCACTCCGGTCGAGCCGGCTCATTCGTGCCGAAGCGTGGCTCTCCCACACTTAAATTAATTGAATAATATTTTGTTAACAGATACGATCACTACGCCACTCTATGCGAGCTCCTGCCTGTAGCGTTGCCAAGTCTGGCAAGTTGCCTGAAGGTCCTACATAGAGACAATGACGGCATACCTATGGGTAATTATCATAATAATATTATTGCATTTAGTTTATTCTTTACTCTTTTCTGTTGCTCTTTTCCTTGCGTGCTTTCTAGCCCTGTGTCGTAAATCGTAAATTAAGGTAGCCAGCGTTATACATGGCAAGTCTCTTCTAACCTGGTGGTATGAGTGTACTCTTAGTGCACTCAAACAAACGCACTAATCAGCTTTTTTGTTATAGTTCGTTATGACCTAGGCCTCTAAGTTATATTTATTTACAATTTTTTATCATTCTTCATGAAAAATTAACGAAATGCAATTTAGAGCTTTAAGCACATACTGTAAAGTTTACTTTGCATACATAAACAACTTTAAATTAATGATGCATAGTGCGAAGAACTTTATGTACATTTCAAAAATTGTCGTAATATATTATATGCAATAGTGTTGTGAATATTCCGTCATGTCAGTGATAGTATCTCTGTTCCGTGTGTCAGGATGCCGCCGCTTCACCCGGCGACGGATATGTCGTGCCCGCCCCATATCCCTGGCCGGCACTGACCTGGATCCAGGTTCTTATGCTAGTTCGTTGCAAACCACTGTTTGATCGTTGCTACATGTTTTTAGTTCGTTGCTGAGTATTTATTGTTTGTTGCTGGGTATTTATTGTTCGTTGCAAAATGTCTTTTTTATTTGCAAATTGTTTTTGGTTCATCACAAAATAATATTTGTAAAAGGTCTTTTGTTCGCTGTTATTTATTAGTGGCAAGATGTTTTGTGTTCATTAATAGATTTTTTTATTGGTCTTAATAATACTATTGTTTGTTGATTTAACAACAGTTTTGCCGTCTTACATTGTTTTTTGTTATTTAGGAGTTGTAGGCATTTACGTTGAAAGAACTCATCGTTTTTTAATAAAATCTTATATCGCTTCCAAAATACCTACTTCATACGTTGTTCATTATTTATGCAAGTGTTTCTGTTGCAAGAGTCATATTTTCTTTTGCAAACTGTTCGTCATATCTGTGATCGTTTATCTTAGTAGCATGTATATGAATGCTTCAATTAATGTTATTATTTAAACTGTCTTAAAATTAAATGTTTACAAATGTACAGTTACATTTACAGAACATGCGCTATGTGAAGATATACTGCCGTCCCATGAGTGGCCTGGGGAGGAGGTGGCGAGGAGTATTCACAGTTTTGTCATACTGAGGGAAAGGGCCATCGGACTGTTAACTAGCGAAATGTAAGTAAAACCTAGCTGTGTAATGGTAAGCTTGTCAATATAGACGTGAGTACAATGCAAGTGCCGTGGGTTCGGTCCTGTATGGAGAGCTGCTCTCATCTTTGCCACGGCTCTGCTAAATATTAGCTGGACGCGTTAACTCGTTGAGTACCGTCATTATAGACACAATTAAAGAACATAGGTTGCGGTCACCGGTGACCGCTCGATGTTTGACAGTTTACATTGGGAGGCGTGCCAAGAGGCTCATTAACGATGATGCGCTTGTGGCCCGGCTTCAAAGCCTCGAACACAGGCGTAAGGTTGCAAGCCTTTCGGTTCTCTACCGGATACAATTCGGTGAGTGTGCAGGGAATTGCACAACTTAATTCCCTCTAGTCCTTTCCATCATCGTACCACAAGGCAATCGGCGAAGCGCCACCGAATCATGGTAGATGTCCCACTTCCTTGTGCTTACTGCTAAGGAGTGGAAATGAATTTCTTGAAGGGTATTTATAAGGGTGTCTTGAAGGCCCGAGTGAATAGGTTGCTTACGGGACGACGTGCTCCATCGTAGGCAGCATCATCGCGTACCACCGGTCGAGATAGTGGTCAAACGTCGGACCGTCAAATGTAAATAAAAATTGAGTGCTTCGTTTTTTTTTTGTTTTTTTTTTTATGGTATGGGTCAAACGAACAGACGGATCACCTGATAGTAAGCGATCAGCACCGCCCATGGACACCCGCAACTGTCATCTCTCTCATGATTAGCTATCAATGGGTTTTAGGTTCTTTCTCGTATTCTTGCCCCACCCCTCCCAAAGCCAAGCCACTGTTATTACTCTAGTGATGCTGTACATGGTAAGCGCAGATCACTTACTATCTGCTGAGATTTTTAATTTTGCGATTAGTAGTACAGCTAAAAAAATGAATGCAGTGTGTATCTCTACCCTTATTACATGATACACAATATAACCGGTGAAAAATGTTTCATTTAACATAACATAATATGAAATTAATTACATTGCAGGGTTCGCACCTGGCTGAATCCGTGGCAGATAGCTCGCAGGTACACCGTCCCAGTGCACGTCGAGGGCATCAGAGTCACTGCACACCAGTGAGTATTTTATCAGTTCATATAAACATTTTGAATGTGTCGTGGTAATAAAGTCTAAAAAGGTTATAATATAACATCACGCCTTGTATCCCCGAAGGGGTAGGCAGAGGTGCACATGACGGCACTTATTGCCACTGTAACTGTACAATGTAAAACCCACTTTTCACTATTTATATTATGAGTCCCATGTAATAGGGGGTGAGCTTATTGCCATATACCGGGCACAATTCCAGACTCTGTGCTACTACTGAGAATTTAAAGAAAACCTAGTAGTACATTGCCCGACCTGGGAATCGAACTCGAGACCCCTTGCTCGGAAGTCGCGCTTGCGACCACTCAGCCAACGAGGCAGTCAAGCCAGCCACTTAGCTTCAATATAGTTGTTAATAATAAGATTCTCCCCGAGAAGGTTCGAGTTAGATTCCCGGGCTAGCCGAAGAATTTTTGTAATTTTTGTTTATATGTAGTTACAGGGTATTGTCATACCGTGTGCATTTTATTTTTGATTTGTTTTTATTTTAGTAAGCATAAGCTAGTCGATCCTATATTTTGAGTCCAAAAAACTGGGATAAGCTGGTACTTAAACAAGTAGACAGATTACCTGATGGTAAAGTCATTGTCACCTGTTACCGGTCGGCCGAAATACAATGCATGCGTTGTTTTACGCCGATTTTCTGTGAGGCCGTGGTATCGCTCCGGTCGAGCTGGCCCATTTGGCCGAAGCATAGCTCTCCCACACTTCTACACGGTTAATGTTACCTACTTATATATATCATAACACTTAAAACAATCTAATAATCCCCTTATTTTTTTACAGTATATTAGGCGAGCTGATAGTACTGAAAGCAGATCTCACGAACTCTTTGCTCCGTATGACTGGAGAGCGGAGCACTGACGAATGGATCCACTCGTACATCGAACCTCTGATCACTAAGGTCACTCGACTGTGCAGGATTGCTGACGAGAGAGTCGTTTGTGAAGCTGGAGTCAAACCTTTGTAAGGCGATGAAGAGGAGGCTACTATGCCCAATTTCATCTAACCTCTTTAATTTTAAGTACCCTTGTTACGGCCCCGGCATTGTTACCGGACGGCCGCGGTACTTGCTCTATGCCGTGCTAATATTTGTTGCTAATAGATGGCGCTGCTGGAAATTGAAGTATTTTTTTTATTCAGATTTATTTTTAGGGTGATTTGATCCTAATTTAAATGCGATTCTCTTGTGCCCAACATTAATTTTCTAAATATTAAGTTCAACATTAGTTAGACTGACAAGACCTATATCTCTTGAAGCGCCATCTGTTGAGAATAAAATATACTCTAGTCTCAATTACTTTGTTTTAAACAAATCGACCTAATTTTCTTTTAATACCTTTCTTACTTAACAAAGGAAATGATTTACTAAGCCACATATATTTTTCTATTTATATTTGTTATAGAATGTTTTGTCCTTCTCTTTCATATTCGATTATTAATTTGTAAGAACAAGACGAAACGTCCTAAAGCTTTAATAAGTTTATTGATATGTTATTTATGCATCAGTCAGTCAAGTTGTTTAGTATGCAGGTACTATAATAAAGATTGATCCAGCATACAGACGGTAATTATTGTATTAATTATTATCACTTATTTGACGAGGAACTCGACGAGTTTTAAGCCATGCTAGAGGCTCATATTCATGAGAAGCATTCTGCGACCCGCGACGCAGCGACTGTCGCGCTGATATTGGCTAGCATGGCTTGAAACTAGTCGAGTTCTTCGTCAAATAATTATGTAAGTAAGCCGAAAAAGATAATTAATATAATAACTACTGTCTCTATACTGGATTAAGCTTAATTTTTACCTGTTTACCAAATTACTTGGCTTACTGTACAACTTAGCTTGTTAAGAAAATTGTTTTACTATATGCATATGAATGTAAAGAACGGAAAAGATAGTAATACATTAATTATATTCTACGGCTTACTCATGTGTTTGACGAGGTATTGTGTAGTTTGACGAGGTGACTCAACTAGTTTCAAGCACGCCAGGGACCTATACATGAGTAAGTTGTCAACATTATTTTATTGTGTTTCATGAAAGTGGTAATATTGTATTGTTATAAAATTGAATGGGAAAGACTGATAAAATCTTGTGTGATTGGCCAATTCAAAAATAACTATGTATTTAGGTATATGTAAAATTAAATACATACTCAATGAAGACTGAACTCCATCGGTATGGCAAAGTACTGTGAAACAGTTTGTTTAAGAATATTGTAGGTAGAATGGCTAGCAGGGCAACCTTCTCCAAACTGTTAATTATTTTCATGAGATTTTCGACTTTATATCAAAATAATAAAGTTGAAATTGACAAAAAGGTGTACGTAAATCTGCTGGCCATTCTACATTCAAGAATTGTGATGTGCAGATATAATTTAATAAAGTATGCATTGTTAATGAGGGCTACCTACAGTTTTTTCTCAACAGATGGAGCTAGTGCGACCCTCAAGTCGTCCAATAGGGAATTAGATAGTGTCACACCACTGGTCATTCTAGACAGCTACAGTGATTGGTCAAAATTACCTCTAAATAAATTGGCCTCATGTGGTCTTGGTCTGGTAAAATAACGGTAGCTCCCATTGAATTGCTGGTTAGGAATCAAGTCAAAATTAAAATAAATCTATTTTAATTTGATTATTAATATTAATTTGCTAAAAGGTCAATGCACAAATGCTGTCTTTAGTTAGTAATTTTTTAGGTAGATATAAATTTAATGAACTATGTTTTTTTGAGAATTCAAATAAATATGTCATCAGTTAATGTTGATAATATTAAATGCTATTCTATTCGTTTTATTATGAAAAATATTATATGAGGTTAAAACTTATGAATCTGCCGGTTCTCAACGGCCACCTCATAGATGTCTATTATCGTAGAAACTGCTATACTCAGAGACATTTAATCATTACTTAACCCATAAATCACCAAGCGGTCACCGGTGACCGCTTTCCACTAATATTACATTACATTATAGACCTTATTTGTAATGTTTAGAGACTACTTTTGTATGACCAAAATTAGGGGGTGGATTTCAACGGGAGTAATCCTTAGTAACGATTTTGTTCCATAAACTATAGAAACGATGATGGAGTATGAAAATTGAAAATCTATTTAGCCCGTCCGTTAGTTAATGAAAAAATATTAGACACGTATTTTTTTGTCGTATAAGAAAACAATACTAAGGGATTAAACTATCAAACACCAAGCGATCACCGGTGACCGCAACCTATTGTTCTATAATTGTGTCTACAAAACCGGTACTCGACGAGTTAAGGAGTAGATATTAAGGGAACAGAGAGTAAGATCGGAAAACGAGGATCTTCCGAGCAGCCGAGGTATTCGTGCCTGGCGGGCAGTTCGTTGGGATTTTCTATCCGCATGTAAATTTCACATTTGCGATGTAGGATTTTTGTGACGTCATCCGTTGAATTGCATTCATTGATAGTCTATGTGTGTGAGTTGTCTTTTGACATTTGTGTCATGAGTCGCCACAGATAAAAACATCGAAGTTTAAGTGGAAGTTATTTCGTCAGTTCTACGTATAAAACTTACTTATACGTTACGGGATATTTTAAATCAACACATCGTCGATATTATTTAATTATTCTCGTAAAATAACAAAAAAATGTGTCTAATGTTTTAAAATTATCTACCAGACGGACTAAGGACTGCGTCAAGTAACGATTGAATGACTGAGTACGGCGATAATAAAGCTATTCATACACTTCCTTGTGTTCAATTATACAGGTCGATATATAAATATTAAATATATATATATATTTCAATTATATCTTTAATGTTATTGAACTCTTGTCCTCTTTTAGGACAAAAAGTATAAATTATCAATATTTTCCTGTTATGAATTGACTGTCTTAAATAAATTGTAGACATCTGAAGTCTTGATATATTTCCCTAACTGTATGTACTGAAGTATATTAAATACTATGCATTAATAAAATAACCCTATATATATATATTAGGATAGAATAGAAAAAGGACTTGTGTCACTAAAAAGAGTTTGAGTTGTGTTTCGTCGTGTGGGTGAGTTTACCGGAGGCCTAGTTACCCTCCCCTTCCCCAATCTCCCCAATCCCTAAATCCCAATGATCCTCAAAAGACCGGTAACGCACTTGTAACGCCTCTGGTGTTCCAGGTGTCCATGGGCGACTCCGATTGCTTATCATCAGGTGAAAAAAAAGCCGGTAAACGAGCAGACGAATCGCCGCCTATGAGCACCCGAAACATTAGGATGTGTTACCGGCCTTTTGGGGATTCAGGAATTGGGGAGATTGGGCTTCCGGTAACCTCACTCACACGACGAAATACAACGCAAATGTTGTTTCACGTCGGTTTTCTGTGAACTCCGGTCGAGCCGGCCCATTCGAGCCGAACCATGTCTGTCCCACACTTGATACAAATGTAATCATCTATGTTCCAGGTTTTGTGTCTCACAGAATTAGAAAGTTTAACAAATACTAAGTATAATTAATAATTCTAATATACAACATACAAATTATGGAACCATTTTTAGTCATAGTTAATTGAGATCCAATACATTTTAAAGCGAAATTCTACATAATAACGATGCTTAAAAATATAAGTAAAAATAAAAAATCCAAAAAGTACATTATAAAATTCATATTCTAAGATTTACCATTGTTTAACCACTCGCGCGCCTCTCGTACACACGGGTAAATATTTTAATAGAAAAGCGAATTAACTATTCTGTTCAATCAAAGAACGAATGGGTTGCAAGCTTGAAAATATACGTCACAGAAAAAATATCCAATCGGTGCGCGTTACTCGTACACCCGTGTGTACAATTGCGCGATGCGCACTCGACTCTTTCGTACACCTAACAGATAATTAAACTGCCGTCACCACCCGACACTGGCAGTATAGTCGACAACATTGTATTGGAGACTCAGTTGCCAAAGAAGAAAAAAAAAAACAATAATATAATAGGTCTCTAACAATAATCATAGGTATCTAGTCTAATGTGATCGTTGACTACACGGTTGGCGCAGTGGTTGGGTGACCGTATGCTATGCAAAGTGTCGTGGGTTCGAAACCCGGGCCGACCAAAAAGTGAAAATGGCATTTTCTAAGTAAAATGACCATTATTAGCCCGGAGTCAGGAAGTTCGGTGGTGTTTCACCCCCGTGCCTCGGAAAGCACGTAAAGACGTTGGTCCTGCGTCTGACCTCTCACCAGTCGTGTCGGTCTCCCGTCCCATCGGGTTCAGAGACCTTAGTAAGAGTTTGTCTTCCGTTTAAAGTAATCGCAACGAGTACGCGTTCAGCGCTCTGATTGGTTGGTTTATTGGCGCCGGCTAATCTGAGGGCCAAGCACGAATAACTATCGCATTCGTATCGTAAAAGTATCGAGCGAGTTAAGCGTTCTGATTGGTTGGTTCACTTAAGCCGGCCAATCAGAGCGCCGAACGCGCTCGATACTATTACGTTACGAATGCGATAGTTATTCGTGCTTGGCACTCAAGAGTGCCGAACGCGTACTCGTTTCGAATACTTTAAACGTAAATTAAACTCGTACTAGGGCCTCAGAAGAGAGTGAGGGAACAGAGAGTGTACCTCTGCGGACACACTTGTGTAGTGGGTTAGTCTAGTTAGACAGACTGGCCACCATTATCGAAAGCGATCGAGAGATTTATAATTTGATTGTTAGTTATATTTTTTTTTAATTGGTGTTTGTAGTAAACTGAAATGTCAATGTTGATGGTCCTTAGTCTCACATGAAATATTCTGTGCACCCAAAGTTAAATGTTTTTATATTTAAATCATAAACATTCATGTTTAGCTCAAGTAAGTGTTCAATGTTTAGTGTCTACCAAATAGACAGATAGATTATTTAATCTCATTACTATAAATTGCATTTAATTATCCTAAGACGTGTTTAATGTTCGTAATAGTACCTTATTAAAAAAATTACCTAAAAACCAGAGAATGCATTGGTTTTCTAGTATCACCTATTTATACTTTTGTTTTAAGTCAGTGTTCTGTGTCTATATTGAAATTGGAATTAATTTAAATAAATGTTTCAAGAATAATTTTCTGTGTTTTTTTTCTTTTTTTGAAGTACTTTTTTGACCGCCATAAGAAGCAAAGAGTATTATTACAGTTCATGAAAAAACATAATATTCTGTATAAATTATTGTCACAATTTATTTATACTGGAATGTTAGTCTACGTGTGTAAAGTTATGGAACAAGATCTGGTTATTATTCAAGCCCGAAAACTGTTGGGTTTTTCAACACCCAAAAAATATAAAAGCAAAATGTCCTTGCCAACATTTTCCCGCTAAAATTCATCATAAGACATTTTTTTAAAGGACAGGTTAAAAAAGTTGTAAAGGAAACGCGGGACCATTACGTTTGGATGTCGTCTGTAGGAAATAAAGCGTACGACATAATCTGTGGCACATTACGTCGGATCTCGGGGCAATTAGCTTGGTCCATCAGATACCGTGGGCCTGTCATAAGGGACATTATGAACTGCGTGGAACTTGGCTTGAATTTTTTTTTGCAAAAATATTAAGTAGATAGGCGTATTTTCTTAGAAAGTGTATAGGGACCTACATACTTGTTATAGTCGAAATGAATATAAAAGTA